GGATCTCATCCATCTTGCTCCTTTGGGCCTTTACTCCACGGGTTTCTTGGATTAACTGCAACCTGTAATACTATTCTATTCTATTTACTACTTAAATAAATAAAATAAATTACAAAAATACTTTACCGGTACGTAGACCGTACTAAGATTACAAAAATACATCATGATGCGCAGATCGTATTTAGCAATCTACTGGGCCATACTAGTCATTATATAGCAGTAAATAATATCATATATTATAAAGTGTCACATAATAAATCACTCATCATGCTTTCCTAAACTATTACATCGAATGATCATAATTGAGGAAACATGGCATAAAATATCTCATATTTTTAATTTATTATTGCAATTAGATAATATCATATATTATTTCTAACCAATCATAAAATATCATATATTTTATTTAAGGTAAGAGATAGAATCAAATCATATTTTAGTTATGAAAGATAAATCATATTTATCTTCCATGGTTATCCTAACTAATTTAGGAGATTCTATCCTAATTGCTAGTCAATCATATAATTTTAAATCAATTATATCCAAAATTAATTATGGGATAATCACATTATTTAAATCAATCTTTATCTTTTTTGGAATATTGCTCAACAATCCTTAAAATTTTCAAAGATTAAAACAAATTTTAAGATTTGAAATTATCTTAACAAACTTTATCCAAAATTAACAACATTAATTAAGGATAATTATCAAAATCAACTTTTGAAATTTGATATTATCCTCAAAATAAAATCTGATTTTATTTTGAAAAAATTTTAAAATAATATTTTTTTTTGAGGTAATCTGCCACGTCAGCCAGGAAGACCCAGCCAACGGAGCAACAGGAAAAACGCAATCAAGGTCCGCAGCTAGAAATGTCCCAGCCACGACACCACCGTATCCCGCAACCGCAGCCAGGTTAAACCCAGCCACGGCACACCAGCAGCACTAACTGGAACTATTCCAGTTGGAAACCGTTGCTCTTGACTGAGGGCCGCCAATCACGCGTCGCAGCAAGGCCGTAGCCCTGCCACTAGCGTCTACTAGCTGCAGCAGATCGGTGGCAGCAGCTTGCGGCAGTGCAACGGTTGCACTTCCTGCTGTCGCCCTCCCTCGTGCGCCCTCCTCGCTGCACCCTTTTCGACCACCTGGGCAGCCGCCGTGGCCACCTGACGGTGGTTCGTCCACCCAGCCACGGCTGCCCCCTACGATCCCAAAATTAATTCCCTTTTTTTTGAGAGATTTAATTTAATGTAACAACTTTTGTTAAATTAAATTAAAATTAGGTCTTTTGAATTAAAACATAACATTTATGCCTAATTCAATTTTGAAATCAAATTCATAATTCAATTTCAAATCTAGGGTTCTTCACAAAATTAATTCAAATTTAATTTAACTCTTAAATCAAATTATTGATTGTACAAAAATCATATTTTATGTATCAAATCAATCTAATTAAATTTATGAAGCATAATATTCAAAAATCATCACAAAATCAAAATTTTGGGCTTTATTTCAATCATAATTTTCGAAATTCTAGGGCTTAAAACGGATTTTGCTAGAATAATTGAGAAATTTAAATCATATTTAAACAATTCCAAAAATTAAATCTCATTTAATATAAAGAATGAACCATAATTAAATTACTCTCCCTCCTAATTGAATTAAAATTGTGGACTATCAAAGAATTAAAATTCAATATGCGTAAATGCATAGGCTAACTGATACCACTGTAGGAGTTTATAGGTACGAATGCGGAAAACATGAATCATATTCATATAGCACCTAATCCCAAGATCATGCATAACACATAAAGAATTAGAATTAATACCTTTGAAGCGTGATTCTACGTGCGATCGAACAAGAACAAGGGAGACAAATAACCTCAAGTGTGATTCCTCTACTTGGTCCACAGGCACAGATTAAGTCCTCCACTAATGCTAGTTAGTTGCAATTGAACCCTTCAATTGACCTTCTATGGAGTAGAACGAGCAACGAACAAATCACGAACCACCACGAAGGGAGGAGATGGGCGTGTGGTACAGACAGAGAGAGAGAGGTTTGGATTACTGGTTGCTTGGTGCACAATTAACTGTTAATTGTGTTGTTTTATACAACCCTAGGCATGGACTTTATTTATAGATCTCATCTCTAAATAAGAGTCCATGACAAAGCCCAAATCCTAACTCTAATCTAACTATACTAGCCCAATCCAATTCATGATTGGTTACTTGTTCATGAGGCCCATAAATGGGCCTCTAACTTGCTTAACCCAATACCTTTGTTGTGTGACCTCATAGGATCCATTCTAGTGGGGTTTGGACTATTTAACTAGCCCAAAGGTCAATGATCATAGTCTAGCAACAGATAATGACGACCCAAAAGAACGAACTTATTATCTCCATAATAGTGATCCTTGATATATCTAGTAATTGCACTTATTGAAGACAGAACTCCTTCATTATTTGGTATTATTTTTGTAAAAAAATGAGGTAAATATTATTAAGCAATACTGCTACATATTAGTTTAGTCTTTCCCGTAAAAAAATATATATATTAGTTTAGTCTTCGATAATCCTATTAACTTTTTTTTCCTTCCAGTTTTGTTACTTTTGCAATAAGGTTTAATTCAATTAAAAATCAAATAATTTTGTTAAGATATATATATATACACACTTTATTTTCTACTCTTAAAAGTCATATCAATACTAATGCAGCATGTGCAGATACTATCATTATAATTTTTGTACAAAAAATTAAAATTTCAAAGACTTCCTTTTTTTTAAAATCAAGTCTAAGGGCCTGTTCTCATTGACTGAACTAAGCTGAACTGAACTGAACTGAGCTGAGCTGAACTGAGCTGAACTGAAATGAATATTTTATAAGAGAAGGAAATTAGGAACTGAACTGAACTGAGCTAAACTGAACTGAATTGAACTGAATTTCAACGTAAAAGAACAGGCCCTAAGTGTCACTAATCTTGACATTGATAGAAATACATATAAAATTAAATTTATATTTATTTTTAGTATTATGAGTTTAATTTTTTTTATAAAATTCAATGCAATAACTCTTTATAAAAATTTAATAATAATCGTGCATTGCACGGGACTTAAACTAATTTCCACTATAATTAGTACACATTACATAAACATATGAACTATAGTAAAAATTGTCTTTACATCTATGTATCGCACAATCTTCATTATATATACTAACCAAATTCCTTGGTCTTCTTTCAGAGTCCTACTCTGACTCTTTAGTTTTAGCAATGAAACAATTACTTCGTATATAATATCAAAAGTTTCAATCTTTGAAAAGCATACCTATATATGAAAATAATTTACCCAAGTAACAACCCGTGCAATGACGAGCCAAAAGGCTAGTTAATTATTAAAGGCGAAACCAAAAGAGACACTTGGTCGCAATATAATAAAAAAATCCCCTCTAATAATACTTGCTTTTAAAAAAAATTATTCTTACTATAAAAAAGGATTGTATCAAGATTATACAGTTGCTTTACTTAGATTATAAACTAGAATTTCCAAAATATTAAATTGTTTATTATTTTATATGACGTTATTTATTAATATATACAAAGTATATACTTAATACTATTAAATAATTGGTGTGTTGATCCTTAAAACCTCACGTTTGTATAATTTTTATTGTTGGTAAAATTATTGAATAGTTGTGCATGTATTGCACGGGGGTTTAACCTAGTCTGATTATAATAGGCGATAATCTGGCAGTCTTAAATGTCATTAAGAGGATGTGGCAAATCCCATGGGAGATGAACAACATCATATGTGACACGGAGGTAGCTTTGAATAATCTTGATTCTCACTCTGTTCACCAAGGTTGCAAGGAGACGAATATGGCGACAGACTACATGGTAAAAAAAAAAGGGGCACTAACACAAAAACTCTATTTTGGTCCTTTAAAAATTTTGTGCCTTCCCTCTCCCTTATCATTCAAAAGGATGTTTTAGATATTCCCAATTAAAGGGGCTAACATAGGTTTTCGTACTCATTTTTTTTTTTAAAAAAAGACATATCTATCAACCCTAATTTAAAAGTCCCACCGAACCCGATCAATCAGCCTAGTTATTCCTCATAATGACCTGGTTTCAACTTGAATCGACCCAGTGATCAATATTGAGTTTTCAGTTTACACAATTCAATTCTTTTTGTACATTTATTTTTAGGTCATCAACTCCGTGTGGTCGATTTTCTATTAATAATTTTGGAAACCCTATATGGATTACATTTGTATCAGATCAATACTTTTTTTGAATTTCGATACGTGCAATTCCTTCGATACCCGAGGATGCTCTTGTATTTTTTTGTACTACCTCCGTCCCCAAAAGAATAACCCATTTGGGTTGATTTCGCGGGTATTAATAAAGTTAAATAAAAATAAATAAAATAATTTTGCACAAATATTGTTGCAAATTGATGGATATTTTAATGATAACGAGTCATTCTTTTTGGAAATAAAATTAGGCCAAATAGGTCGTTGTTTCGAAGAGGAGGGGACTACAAAATTTTTGATACAACTCTAGCCTCAAAAAAAGAAAAAAAAAAAAAAAACCTACTGATTAGTCAGGATACTTATGAATCGACATGTGTAACCTTCAACTATTCCAAGTTTTTCCCCTTTTTTACCGTCTGCCTTAGATTCATTCTGGTGGGGTACAAAAAATAAGGGAAAAACCAAAATTCCCAACTCCCCAAAAATCCTTTATACTTCGTAGTTAATACGGAGTACTTGCTTACTTTTTTTTTTTTATTATCCTTTTTACTTTTTTAGAAGCCCATGTTATTAACGGACCCCCACCTTATTATTTTCATTTAAAGTAATAAAAACACAAAAAAAATCCAAATATCAAAAACCGTCCTATCCAATCAAAAGTCGACAACGCATTTGACGAAACCAGTCTGGTTTTATAAAACCACTCTTTTTTATCATCCAAATCTCAACTCTCTCTTTCATTACTCCCGTGTCTACCTTCCTGCCTCATATACTCCCTGCAGATTTATCTCTCCTTTAACATTACTACAAAATCATACTTGTTATATAACTAATTTTTTAGTATTATTATCATCTCTCTTTCTCCCTCGTCCCTTATTTTCTCTCTCCTTCCGCATGCCTTACCTATTATCATTAATATCAGCAAGTGATTGAGTGAGGGAGAAAGAGAGATTGTTGTACGGAAGGAGAGAGAAAATAAGAAAAACCCTCGGAAATGGGGAGGGGTAGGGTTCAGCTCAAGAGGATCGAGAACAAGATCAATCGACAAGTCACGTTCTCAAAGCGTCGGATTGGATTGCTGAAGAAGGCACATGAGATCTCCATACTCTGCGATGCCGATGTTGCTCTTATCATCTTCTCTACTAAAGGCAAGCTATTCGAGTACGCTTCTGATGCCTGGTATGTAATTTACCTACTTGTATATATTTATCATGATTGAAGCTGAGATTTTTTTTTTTTTTTTTTAAAGTGTTGAATTTTTGGGGTGCAATTCATTTGGTGTTTATTTAAATTATGAATATAAACTAAGTATAGAGGTGAGAGAAAGAGGATGAACGTGTGATTTTGTAGGGATCATGAACAGTATGGATTAGTTTCGTAAATTCTATGTAGATCAGGTGCTTTCTTCTGTTTAAACCTAAATTCTTCCATTTTTAGGCACCTACTTAGAGAATATAGGTTAAATTAATTTCATTTTAACAATTTCAAAGTTTCGAAGTTTGAACCTCAAATAGTAATATTGTATTACTCATATAATTTTTATTGAAAGAATTTATATTATTATTATTATTATTTTAAACAAATTAAACAAAAGTTATGTGTATAATATATATCAATCTATATGTTATTTTTATTATTTCATTTAATTCCCTATATAAAGGACGACAATGTGAAAACACATCTATTAATTTCTCTTAATATTAGCATACATAATTTTGCTTAACAATATTTCATATTACACAATTTAATATATAAAAAAATTGTGATGTACAAAGTACTCTATAGTGTTACTACTATATAATGAGCAGGGGTTAAAATTTGAACTTGAATTAAATAATATATATAAGTCCTTTCATTCACTATTAAGCACAATAGACATCATTACTTCTGTACCTTCATCTTGATCAAAATGGTTTTCTTAGATGTTAGAGCTACAAGAACAAATGGACTAAGTACGAGTAATTTGATTTGCTTTAATTTTGTTTTTGACCCCAATTTTTTCACTGTTCTTTTTAACTATTTTCAATATACAATTTGACTATATTAATACGTTTTAGTACATATGGAATACTATGAAACTATACAAAGTACATTGAAATGAATTTTAAATTTTATTTTCCACAAATGAAAGATACAAGAGACAATATGGTACATGCATTAAAAAAAAAAATTTGTACAAATTCAACAAAATCAATGTTTTTTTTTTTTTAAAAAAAAAGAATTATTTTTTTGGCTATTTTATGAAAAAGGTTTAAATTTGCAGTTTTGAATACAATATACAAATCAATTACACATTTACATCTTCTATACAAAAAAAGTCGATCCTAATAGTTTGGCTTTTTTAGGCAAAACCCATGCACTACAATTCAATCTTACAATAACACTACTACGTAAGAAATGGTAGTTACATGTTGTACGGAATACGAAGTGCTTTTTGGATTTTACCAAAAAAAAGTTGCAAATTTTTTAAAAATTCTTTTCCTTGACAATTGTACGGAGTACTTCATACTTTTTAATTTTTATTATTTACATCCCAAGATCTTGTATCCATATTTTTAAGAATCTCTTATTCTGTACACGTACTACATGTTCTATCATTTTTAAATTCGAATAAAATAATACGGAGTATAAATCATTTATAAATCCTTGTATAGCATTTTTAAATAGGTTTTTCTTTTTTTAAAAAAAAAAGGTTTTCTTTTAAATTTATTTATTTATTTATATTTATTTTTTTTACAAATTTTCAACTTTGGAATATATATATTTCCTCTAACACAATTTTTTTTATGGGATTCCTATGTCTCAAATTACATTGTGAAACTCAAAGGCTTGTTTTGCATCAGTTTTGGTTTTCAGTTTCCTATTTTTTTGAAAACCAAAAACCAAAAACAAGAAATAAGAAAAAGGTGTTTCCACTTTTCTGTTGTCATTTTTCAAAATTATCATGATTTTAATAAGTTCAAAAAATTTTGATTCATTATGGGGCATATATCATATACTTTAAAAAGCAAAAAACCAAAAAACACAAAACCACAGTAATGCCAAACGAACCCTTATATTTTGCATTTGATAACTTTTATACAATAGTATGTCAATATCCTGAAAATCATGTAAAATTAGTGATCTTTCTTCATTTATCTCCTTCACTTTGGTCCTGGCCAAATAAATATATATAGCCACACCTATCTCCACCACTATCACATGCAAGGTTGGATAGCAAGACTAGGATCTTTTACCAAAATGGTTAATTTTACAAAAGTATTTACCAAAACGGCTAATTATAAATATTAATTCTCAAATTAGATAATTTATTAACTTGGAAGGAATTTATCTATTTCTTATATTCCTTTGAAATGGTTTGGTTCACTTTACTAGCTGTAATGGTAGGTCGTTTTCCTATCAAATGTCAAAATTGCCTTTCTTCTCTTGTTGTTTCCCTTGATATCTAACCTCTACATACCATTATACTCGTTAGCACTTTGCACTCAAGAACCCCATATGACTATATATGATGATAAGCTCTCACTCTCGCTCAATAAGAATTTGGAAGAGTAGAATATTAGTGATGATAGCTAAATAATCTACATAATCATCTCAATAATCTACATAATCATCTCAAAGTATAAGTTATGGAGGTTGAAAAAACATTCATCCTGTAAAATCTTAGCTCATTCAATAAAAAGATTATTCTGTTTTTTTAGATGCAGAATGCAAAGATTATTCTGATGTATTGTAAATTTGTTATGAATTCGCTCTTAAGAGGAAGAGTTATCAATCATTCATCATAACTTAATCCATAAATATATTTTAAATTACCTTACATACAAACCTATTACGGAATACGGAGTATCTCTTAAGATTATCTATTTTATTTTTATATTATATCCACAATTATACCATCAAATAACATACGAACGAAGGAGCTTTGAAAAATCTCATGCGTTATTAGCACGTTATAAGTTAACTAGTTTGTTAATTAAGTGGGAGTTGTATATTATATTTATAATTGATTTCTAGACGAAGGTGATACATCCGGGTGTATCGTACACCCAGCTAAGTAAATAACCCCAAGGTTAATTCTTACTCTTCATTTGATGATTAAATGAAAAACAATCATCAAAATGAGTATAAAATACCCATGGGTGTACGACTGTACGGTACATCTGGGTGTATATAATAATCTCTCCTAATTTAATACACACTTGATTAGTTTTTTTTTTTTTTTTTAAAGAATTATGTCGCTTTATATTAGCCAATTGTAATATGCACGCACGTTTGCATACACTAATCTTTGTCTTACAAAATGCAATTTTTTTTTTAATTAGTTCTTGGACTCGGGCGATATCTCGGATTATTACATGAAACTAGCTGATTATTAATATACATTGTAATTTATGATTTAATTTTCTTTGAATGAATATATTTCTTTTTCATTTTTATAACATGTTTGATAATTAGCTTAGATGACTAAATAGTCAATTTTGACTGAGTTCAAATCCTCTTATCTTCCTATTTTTTTAAAATCTCCTTTTAATATATGAGTAGATATATGATCAATATTTTCATTGGTGACCAATCTAAGTATATTATGCACTGGACCTTTAAGTAGCTTTAAATTAGAAAAAAAAAAAGAAAAAAAAAAGTCCATCAATAAGTAGCAAATTAGCCTTGGGTGCATCTAGATCTACTCACACCAAATGTTGCGGATATGTATATCCTAGTTGAGATATTAAAAATAATGTTGTTGCAAATTGTTTGTGCATTGAAATCTATTCAATGGTTACAACAAAATTGTAGCTATTGTAATTAGTTTTAATATTGGCATATTATCCATTCATCAAATTTACTTTAATATTTAATATGAAATGAAATTGATGTGGATCTCTCAAGACTCTCACAAGACTCGCAAAAGGATAGTACTCTAATTCTCGCAAAAATAGAGGGTCTCTTCCTAGTCGCAACTAGAAAATGATCACAAGTCGCAACAAGTGATGTTTTTTATCGATTAATAATCAAACAAGAAACGCTCAAAGGATTAATTCCCAAAATAATACTCTCTCATTCTTAAACTATTATTGATATACACCAATATTTATAGGGTGACAAATCGTACAGAGATAAGATAGGAAACTAATAATTATATCCTAAAATTACATAAATATTAAGAATCTAATCCTAATATATCAACTACTAAATCTATCCTAACATATATAAATAAATATCCTAATGGCTAAAACTCTTAAACCCTAAAAATTCAAAAATCCTAATAATTAATACTAATAAATAGATAGCGCAGGCTTTTTTAAAATTCCGTGAATTTTCAAGAATACCCATATTGATCTATTGCTCCCGCATTAGAAATTAAAAAAAAAAATCTTGATTACAAGTTAAAAAAAAAAGTTAAAAAAAATTACAGTTTATAAAGCAAAATTTTTGAAGTTTGCCATTGATGTATATTCTTGCAATTTCCACGTTCAAATTATTCTTCCATCTCCATTAAAAATCAACATTTGATTATAATTTAATTACCAATAAACCTATTTACCGCATTATAAAATACAAAGCCTATAAATTTTGCATCAATTATATATATATATATATATATATATATATATATAGACTAGCTTTATCCCCATGCAATGCACATATTTATAAAGTATGATATCATAATAGTCAATTGAAATTAAATAAATTAGGTAACACCTTTTTTTTTCAAATTTAAATTTAATAATGTCTATCCCTTAAATTTTTTTTTTTAAAAAAAAGAGCATTTTGGAGGGATTTTTCATAAAATCATGCCAAGTGTCCTTCCATTGATTACTTTAGTATATAATATAGATAGATAGATGAATCATCCTCCATTAAAGAAAACCAGAAAAAGTGAGGAAAAGAATAAGATTAAAAAAAAAAAAACTGCAAAGTTTGTTTCTAACTTTCAATAAACCAATCAATTGACATTAACGATGAAAACAATAACATATATAGAAAATTTCATCCTTTGACCTAATTTTCTGGTATTAAAAAAGTTGACTTTTATATTTTTATAACCGTATTTTATAGTCAACCAATGGATGGATATGATGAATGTTATTAATCGAAGGGTTGTTTTTCACTTAGTTACAATAACCACAATTTTATTGTAGTCATTTGAAAACTGTCCTTAAATGTATGTTACATGT